TAGTGATATTATATTAAGACTAAAGATATTCACTTTTCTATCGTAAGAATTAGTACAAAAAGGCATGTAAAATATTACGATTCAATGAATTAGAAACGAATGTATTTATAATTGAAGCCAATTCCTTAATACTGAAATTATCGACGATTAAAGTATAAAATTTATATTAGAAAGATTCAATGCGAAAAATTTATAATAACAGCTTGTACTATAAAGAGTACAAGCTGTTTATTGAAAATTATTTTTGATTCTAAAAAATGCACCATTGTAAATGAAGTTTCTACAAAAAATTATAAATTGATCATTTTAACAACTCTGGTAATATGTATGCAAAGTATGCAAATATTTTTTCGCGGGTCACAATTCCAATTTTTTTTAAAAGTGTGACTTAATTTTATATTTTAATTTTTTATGTCAAAATGTTACAAAATGACGGAATTATTCACTAGTTCATTTCAATAATTAATTGCTGTCTCTGCAAAAGAGTTTTTTATTAAACAAACGAAACATTCCTCTAAATCTATAAAGAGATAAATATATATGTAATTCTTCAATATGAACCTACAAATTTTCAAAAATTTCAATATCATAAATATGGTAACAATTCGAAGTAGGAAAACTTATTTTTATTACTTATTTTACTAATGTAGGTTTAAAATGTTTTAAAAATCAATTTTAAATATTTATAAATAATTACGTAATTGAAATACTGAAAAAATTGTTAGATAATGTATTTTCATTTGTAAATTAATATGAACTTTTTATTGCACATGTTCCACTCTTTCATGACGAAATGAAATTTGAACGTAGGAAAAAGGAGTTTGATATTATTCACAAAAATAATAATCAGGGATTATGGTATATTAAAAAAATATTTATCATTATAGGAACCTACTATTGATTTGTGTTTTCCGTTGTCATATCTATAATACTTACGTTGGCACTATTTTAAATAACTTCTCGAAAAATTGGAATTTTTCATTCAATAATTAGATTATTATTATATATTTTTATACTTTAATTAAATCGCAATATTGAACAGAATGCAAAAAAAAAATTGCTTTTTATAACATTTCGTACGTAAAACAATTTCCTACCAAGATTATGTTTTCTATATTTAATATGAAAATATTAAATAAATATTATTATAATTATAAATAAATGTGAATAATAATATTAAATATTTAATATGAATTCGTGAAAATTTTTAAGTTTTATTTCTGGCAGTTCAGGATAGCCTAAACCTAATTAAATTTAATGTTTCACTCGAAATTTCAAATTCTTCAATTTATTTTTAGATTGCCCACGTGATTCAAGAAATATATCAATTACAACAAGGATCATACAATATCGAACCGGTGATGAAAGTTATGAATTACCTATTGGATCCATCGTTGCAGATCGACGACGATACTCTATATCGCATGTCCTTGGAGATCGAGCCAAGATCATCCAAGCTAAGTAGTTCAAGTTTACTTCATCTGACACCCTCCGTCGCCCATAAGTCCAATAAATGAATTCAAGTATTCACGTCCTTTAATTATCGATACGCAATTTATACTTATCTTATCCTTCAATTATTCCTATCTCTACCACACTCACTTGATTCTACATCTGGCGTGCGTACCTATATATATATTAGTAGTCCCAATGTGGCCATAGTCACTGACATTCATGCATCGCACAAGAACTGGCCTAGGTGAAGGAACTGGCAAACCAATAAGAATCGTGAGGCAGAAAAGTTGTCCAGGCCTATAGTATACTGTAACGCGTTTTAAAATTTCCAAAAATGTAAAAATAGGGAAACTTATTTCCAATCGATTTCAGAAATTTATTTCTCCAGATTTTGAAATTGTAACATCAATTATAATCGCTCTTAGAAATGTTAACTGTTCGCCTTTGCGATCTTGTTTCCAATTTTCTTGAATATATATTGATCAAACATGAATCTTCAACGTGAGAAATTTAAATTTAAATTTCAAATTCAAATTCCATAGAATTTTTCTCTTAAATTGAAATCATTATTCGTACTATGCACGTACGTTGATATTAACAACTGACAAATTTATTTTAGAAGGAAAAAGAAAGTAAGGGTTAAATTTATATATTAATTCTGATATTGTTACCATACATCATTTCCTAAAATTCCATTTATCTCACTTTATTAAGTATATTTATTAAGATTTATTAAATATAATCTTGTCTATACAACAAACTGAGAAACATGACAAAATGTGGTACATAGATGATGTCACACATTTTGGCGCATTCGCCACAGATGTTTCACATGAAGGAAGATCAATGGAACATTATAGCGAACAACTTTTTGACCTAATGGTCTTTCTCTATTGATAATTGCAGTTTATTCAAAAATTGTACATTTACATTGTATAGATATATCTGTGATGGAACAATACTATTTATGAACAATAGTTATTGTACATATCAATGACAATGAAAAATTGTCAATAATTTAAAACATAATTTTGTAAAAAAAGATCATATAACAATTAAAATAGGAGCTTCACGTTTTAAAAATAAGACTAAATGAATTGTTATATGAACTTGTTTTCGTTCATAAATATTGTTAAAAGACTGTAAATAAATGTTGAAAGTAAATGAACTATAATCTGCGTAATTTATTTGAACCATGCATGAGAACGTTGATATCTTCGTCAATTACAAATACGTTAGTAAGATAAAATTATTTATTCCGTAATTTAAAAATTATATGAGAATAAACATGTATGTATTCGTCTACGATGAATCTGAATATAAAATATTATAATAAAGTACACTTTCACTAGAAATTTTTCTTCTTTTCTGATATTTCGTTCAATATTGCAACGATTATTTT